AGTAACAGCCAGGTCAGATGACCCAGCCTCCCCGTGACATTTGCCATCTTCATCTTTATTTTCATCTCCCTCTTCTTCTCTTTTCGTTTGTACTCCATACTTTCTTATTATCCCTATATCCAAATACCGTATGTCCTCTATCCACAACACGTCAATTCTTCACATAATGTCCCACATATCACCTGACACTTCTCAGACATTTCAATCTGCGAAACCCGCTCTGTTTCCACTGTCGGCCTTCCTACTGCGATCGTCTCCGGATGAGCCATCTCTGGCTGAATCGTGGTGGAATGGATCCCATATGCGTGGAAACATTCGTTGATGGTCTTACTCAATTTCAGGAAACTCGGCACTGAACAATCGGATACCATCACATGGACCGATGCGAGCGCCTTGTGCTGGTTCAGGCGCCAGATATGTAGCTCGTGGACCGATAGGACACCGGGAATCTGCCAAACCCCAAATTGTGAGAATTTACTCGATGAGTATAGCCTCGGTGTGGCCTACCTTCTCTAGATCATGCTTCACATCCTCAAGATCGACTCCATTAGGCGCGCTTTCTAGCAGGATGATCCCACATCGCCGCACTATTATTGGATTCAGTTTCTATCAATTAAACAACGTGAAAGGACATACCCAGTGGAATCGAAGACAGCATTATCATTATGGCTATTCCCATACTTGTGCCAGGATCCGCATAGTATCGTCCTCCATAGTGAGTGAACCATATGACCAAGGCCGCTGCCATCACCCCAAGGTTATTGGCCGCATCGCCAATAACATGGGTCAAGACCCCCAGCATCCCTAGGTCATGTCCGTGAGAGGCTGTTCGAGGCCCATGCGAAAGATGTTTATGGTTATCGTGCTACAGAGTAGAAGTCAGCCAGCTGAATGCTCTTATTCCTGCTAAAGTACTAACGTTCGGACTTCCTGGTCGTTCCGGTTCTGTAATGTCATCTGTTGTCGACACCGGAAGCTCTTCCAAAGCCACTGGACTAGGTTCATGTCCGTGATCATGATGGTGATGCTCTGTAAAACAGTTACCGAGGCCGCCTCATTAGCTGTTGAAGCCGGAATTACCATGGAGAAACGTGGCGCTGATAAGATTCAGGGTCAGTCCGATGGCTCCCATGATGAACATGAGCTTAGGATTCTCAACACCTGTTGCACATTAACCGGATGAAGTTGACAGGAGGACGGAGCACCAACGCTGGAGCGTGATGAATCGCTCAATGGACTGTAGGAAAATGCTTATCCCAAGCGCGAAGAGTAGGACGCCATTGAAGAAGGCGCCCAGCAACTGGGCTCGTTGCCAGCCAAAAGATAGGGCTTTCGGCGATTCGTCTGCTTCTGATACCTGGAGTGAACTCAGTACCTGCTGCACCTTTCTTGACCGTGCCGTAAACTACCTTGAGAGCAACGAGCGCGACAACAAACCCGACCAGGTCGTTCAACTAGATCCATAAGTGACCGCTTTGCAACAATGGGCCACACATACATAATGGAAAGCATCGGCCACCAAAGCAAGGGAATGTGTGTAAAAACCAACTACCGTACGGTCGCATCAGCCAGGCTTGCAATGAAGCAATCTGCAGAGGGATAGAGAGGAGCCAACCTGAGATCTCAGCCACAAAGAATGCCGAGGAGATGACAACTACCACCGTCAATCGCGTGGCGCGTGATATTTCGAGCACCATGATACCGAACTCCCTCAGATGAGAATGAGACAAAGCCCAGACGACCTTTTGCTGTAGAAGTACTCACGGCCAGGTGTGAGGCTACCGGCTTATTACCCCTTACATTAGAATGGGGCCGGGCTGGAATGCGATGAACTTTACAAACCAGGCTGGCCGAACATGTTGTGAGGGACCCTTTCTAGGGTGTCTATACCTAGGCAAACATGTTACTCTCAAGTCTCTATGCTGAGGGTGAAGGTCTAGACTGTTGTGCCATCCAGCTCCGACATGCTCACACCATTACCCATGTCACACATCATATGCAGCTGACGTAGCAATCTCGGCATTTTATTCCAATTGTAACTGCTGCTAGAGTTGATTCTCTCAGCTTCTCACTTACTGGGAGTTTACTACAAACCATGTTGTGACAAACATCAGGGACCGCTATTCATTATCTCATAAATACTTGTTGACCGACATTCTACTATGCAGCGATCTCATCCACCAAGCCATCTAACTCTCTCTGCCAGTTCCTGTGCCTCGAGATTTGCCAGATAAACTGGTCGATGAATCCCTTGCTCCCGCTACCAATATTGGACGATACTTGCAATAGCTGCGCAGGTGCGCCATGGGCAGTCACCACTCCATAGCTCTCCTTAACCTGACCATCCGAGGCATATTTGACCGCATCTAGGTTGATTTGCTTCCGGATGAAGTCCACCGCTTCGTTAACACCAGCAATAGGCTTTAAGTGTGCAAAAGACTCAGCAATCCAGTGCTTAGCGATGCCGTTCTTCGCCAGCACATCAACGTGTTTTCCACCGGGTACAAAAGTCGCGTCAAAGAGTGTGGAACGCATTCCTGGGAAGTGGTGATCGGGAACCACCTTCTCCCCTGATTCGGAGGTGACACCCTGGCGCTGGGATCCAATGGTGAATACAAATGCATTTTGCTTCTGCAAAGCGCTCTTCATGTCCCCGTATGAGTTGAGGTCGAAGCCATCCGCGATGAGGATGGCAACTCGACGAGTAGCAATCTGCGCGCTGTCAGAAAGGTAGTCGAACTGGCTCAAGCCTTTTGATGTTTTCCCATCGTTCTCCTTTGGTGCCTTGGTCGGCGTGTTGCCTCCGACATTCTTCGCAACAGTCTTCGCCAGCTGGAGATCAACGACAGCCAGTCGTTCTGAAAGACGCTTATACACGATCTCCTCATCACAATGGTCCAACTCGAAGGAGAATGCTTTGGAGACATGAAGCTTTTCTATGGGGCTGAGGGAGTTGTAGAACAGTTGGGCCTGGTTGAAATGCTCGCTGAATTTGTCTGACAGTGCACGTGCTTTCACGCCGCGCTGCTTCTCAGGGTAGGTCGCGAATCCCCCATGGGCTGGAGAGGATGGGGGATTCGCATCGAACCTATTAGGCCAATAGTTCACCTTGCCCTTTGTGATGCGGTGTCTCATCTGACCATCCCGGTTGACCAGACTCATGTACGGACATACGGGACGGTTGATTGGCAATTCTTGCCAGTTAGGGCCCAGGCGGGAGATTTGCGTATCGAAGTAGGAGAAGTTGCGGCCCACAAGAAGGGGATCGTCCGAGAAATCAATACCGGGCACGATATGGCTTGTGCAGAAAGCCACTTGCTCGGTTTGGGGGAAGTATTCGTCAACATTGCGATTCAGTTCCAGCTGTCCAATGTACTGGATTGGCACAAGCTCCTCCGGCCAGATCTTGGTTGCATCCTGGATATCGAACTCAAAGTCATCCTTCTTCTCCTCTGGAATTACTTGGATGCCGAACTTCCACCTGGGGTACTGGCCTGCCTCAATGGCATCCATCAGATCCTTCCGATGGAAATCCGGATCCTGACCTGCGATCTTCAGCGCTTCGTCCCAGACGAGAGAATGCACCCCGAGCTCCGGGGTGAAATGGAATTTGACAAAGTGCCTCTGCCCCTTGTCATTCACAAGACAGTAGGTATTGACACCGAAGCCTTGCATCATACGGTACGAACGAGGGATAGCACGATCCGACATGACCTAGCAAACCAATCAGCCAGCTGCCCATTCAGCAAATAAATCAAAATAAACCCACCCATTGCTGCATATGAGTCGTCTCCGAATGCATATACTGAAAATCCCAAAAGTTGTTATGCGCACTCTGTCCCTGGGGAATCTCATTATGAGGCTCCGGCTTGACCGAATGAATAACATCAGGAAACTTGATAGCATCCTGAATAAAAAAGACCGGGATATTATTCCCCACAATATCCCAATTCCCTTCAGCAGTATACATCTTCACAGCGAAGCCCCGAACATCCCGAACAGTATCCGCACTCCCCCGACTGCCCTGGACGGTGGAAAACCGCACAAAGACGGGCGTTTCGCGCTCCGTGTCATTCAAGACACCGGCTGAGGAGAGATCAGGAATGGCTTTATGGAGCTTGAAGGTTCCGAAGGCTCCAGCACCGCGGGCATGCACGACTCGTTCGGGGATCCGTTCGTGGTCGAAGCGCATGATCTGCACTGGTCAGTCGATACTCTAGCAGAGGACTGTATTATAAGAAAAGGATCATACCTTCTCCCTCGCAATCGGATCCTCCAACAACGAAGGACCATTATGCTGCGCATCAACGACGCGAAGCCAATGATCAGGATCCGAGATTTTGATCCCGTAATCGGTGGTCATGGGTTGGACGCCGGATAGTTGGATTGTGTCCCGGGCGAGATCATCTTGTTTGGTGGTCATGTTGAAGTGTTCGCTGGCCATGGTCAAGTATTGTCGCTCACACTGGTAGTAAGTATACAGTGATGAGAAATTTTCTTTTCAGAAGATAGTAGCCTGGGATACTATATACCTATATACCCATCCGCCCCAACCCGACCAATCTATTTCTAAGCACTTGTAATACTACAGTCGATCAGGGACTAGTCTGGACCGGAACCATGATATAACGCTGTCAATGGTCCACAGATTTGGTGTGAAGAGAAGAACTCATGATGTCAGTGATGTGCACTAGAGTCCACTCCCTGCATTGACAGTATCCATCGTAGAGGAGAATTGCCTATGCTTTTTGGCCAATGGCAATTGAATCATTAAGAAAGTGGCAGGAGCACTCAGCTGAGAGTGGAGAAATCTTAAATTGTCCCTGCCTGATAGACTTGTTTGAAGTTCCTGGTTGATCGTTGGGTGGGTTGATGACGTCATGTTCTACTTAACCTTTATCAGAATATGTATAGTCAACAACACAGTTTAAACTGGGTAAACGAATATGAACGCAAACATGTATTCATCGCCATAATATTCAACTAAGCTCTCTATGATCTGTAAATGCAACTGTAAATGTATACACGTATGTATAGAAGAAGTATATAGTATATGCAACGAAGAAACCAGCAACCATCTAATCTAGATAGTAACAACATCTCCCCTATCTAAGATTCAGGTAAAAGATGAGTAAGAAAAAGGATGATGGTGGAAATCACATATTATCCTCCGACCAGCGACTCCTCGCCTTCAAATACGCATCATGTTCACTCTTCCCATGATCCGCATCCGTTCCCACTCCCAACCCGCGCTCCACCCACATCTTACTTCCCATTTCGGACAGACGGGACAATGCTCTCGCGAACGCGAACCGCTCCTCGTCACCGCTGAAGATCGAGGTCGTTTTGAGCGCTTGCATCGACAAGCCTAGATCGTCCATCATCATGCGCATCGCGTCGGAGAGGTCCGCGCCGTCGTCGTTGCTGCCGTCCGTGAGGGTGGATTTGACGTCGTCGGCTGAGAGGAAGAGGTTGGTGAGGGGGACTTCGGTGGTGAGGACTAATTTTGCCTGTTTATTCCATATTGTTAGTTTGAGTTGGTATTGGTATTGGGTGATTGTTTGGGGGGAAGGAAAGGTTTGGGGGCTAACGCACCCTACTCTCATAGACAGCATCGATGAAAGTAATGAACCGTCTAGCCAGATCTCTCTGGGTCAGGTTCATGCCCGGCACGTCGGTGATGATGAAGGCTTCGTAGTTCCGGACGAGTTCTAGGTAATCTGCTGCGCCGGTAGCACTGCCGATGAGCTGCTGGAAACTGAATTTGGCGGCTTTGCCGCTGGCCAGGGGCACATGGATCTTGCGACCCCAGACTTCTTGGGTGGCGGGGTGTGGGGGGTCGTTGATGGGGTCGCCGAGGAAGTCGAACCATTTCTGGGCGTGGTGGTCGGCGTCTGGGCCGAGCGGGTGGTGGTAGACGGCTGCTGGGGGACGGGGGATCTTGCGGTAGTCGGTTGGGGAGTTGAGGTTGATAACGTCGAGGGCGGTCTTGAGGAGGTTGATGCAGGGGATGAAGGATTCGCGTTGGATGCCGTTCTTGTAGAGGTCGTCGGGGTGACGGTTGGAGGTGGTGACGAGGAGGACGCCGTGGGACATGAGGGATTCGAGGAGTCTGTTGTTTTGCTTGTTAGTGATGGCTGTGGTTTGGGTGAGACTGGTCGGTGTAGTACCTTCGGAGAATCATCGCATCTGCGACATCTGTGCACTGGAACTCGTCGAAACACAGCACACTCGAGCCCTCTGCGATGGAAGCCGCCACGAGAGGCAGCGCATCAAAGTCGTTGCCGTACTTCATCTTGACGACGTGCATGCGCTTGTGCACATCCTGCATGAAGTTGTGGAAGTGGATGCGGGTCTTGGTCTTGATGTTGGGTGGGAGGGTCTCGTAGAACAGGTCCATGAGCATGGTTTTGCCGCATCCTACGTCGCCGTACATGTACAGTCCCTTGGGGAGGGATTCGGGGATTGTAAGTTCCTGCTTTGCGTTGCGATTGAACAGCGAGCCGAAGAACGACTTGGGATTGGGGTCGAGGGATTCGATGCTTGGCTGGACGACCGGCGGGGGGTTGTAGGATCGAAGTCGTTCGTACAGGTCCTGCAGTTGCTCAATGATCTCTGTTCATTGTAAACCAAGCATGTTAGCGTGTGTAATCGAGATAAGGCCATTTTTTCAGACTCTCCCTCCCCTACTACGGGAGTGACCTCCGCTCGACCGGAGACAACCAATTCGCATGGAAATTCAACATACGTCTTTGATACGGATCATCTCGCAAGCGACCCTGCTGTACACGAGCATCATACTCCACCAGCGGACCACCCTGCATCCCAGCTGCAGCGTCGCCCTCCACAGCCTTCCCCTCGGCGGCTGTCGCAAAGCGGCGCGCATACTGGCCCTGCGACAACCTCACATCGACCGTATCACGGACCGGTACTCGGTGAGCCGTCACCGAGGGACGATAGCGAGAGTTGTTCGCGCCATGAGCACCCCGTCTATACTCCCTGGCGCCAGGCCGGCGAGTGCCCCGAGGAACGGCACGCAAAAGAGGGCCCCGAGCCCTCAGTGCGCCGGGCAGGTAGTCCGCGCACAGTTTCGCCGAGGATCCGCTCATGGACGTTGCGTATAACGAAAACTGTATGGGAAAATGGTGTGTGTCTGAACAAATGTGCGTTGCGACAAAGTCGTGGAGACTTAAACCCGAGGTTGTTCGGTCGGCAAATACTCGGCGAATGAGACGGTCAAGTGCGGCGCCCACGCGGCGAAGAAGCGGGGACAGACAAGTGGACACTGAAGAGGGCAACAGGAATGCACGCGCTGACAAGTATGTACAAGTCGACTCGACTCAACGGGTCGAATGCAAGTATGCAAGTGAGAAAGAAAGTCCTCTGAAGAGCCCCGATATTGACCGGAAGAGCAGAACTCCGCGGCGAAAAGGAACCGAAGCAACAAGAAAAGGCATTCCGATGGTCTGTCATGTGACTCGGAGAGCGGCAACTGATCGGCCCCCAGATTTAGAGCCGACAAAGCCTTATTTGGCCGAGTGGATCATTCGTTTATTGTGAACGCCGGAACGGTAATTGGTTCCCTACCATGTGTTCTACTTGGCACAAAAAGCAGATGGTAAACAGTAGGTGTCGTAGCCTACGGCTAGAATATATATGCAAGAGAAGACTTATGTACAAAAGACAATAGCACATCACAGTAACAGGGTATGGAGGGTAAACAATCAGCCATGGCCCACACAACAGAAAAGTGCAGCTTCAAAAAAACAAACAAAGAGTACATGATGGCGTAAACGTTTCAGACATGTCATTCTTGTCAAAGCATCAACCTCGTGATTCAATAACAACCGCTCAGAGGCTGATGACCAGAGACAACAGGAAAAATAACCATAACACCGGGACACCCGATGCACCGCCACAAACGGGTGCAATATTCGGACAACAAAAGAAACTGATAAAAATGACAGACAGATCTATCGGGATATAGACGGAGGGTGATGAAATAACGCTTCTATGCAAGTCCAACATATAGTGTGAGCTTGGAGTTCCGCTGGATCGCCGTGTCCAGGTCACTATCCGTGGCCAAGTCGACGTACGTCCCGGACGGTTCGTCCTTGTACTGGACCATAATTTCATCTTGGATCTTTAGACGGTCCGTGAGCTTCTCCTTGAGCTGCTGAAGGCTGATGTCGTTCGGGACCCGGATCGCAATGAGGTCGTCCTGGAAGAAAACCTTGACTTTCATGGCACCGCCACTCGACGTCGACACCTGCGTTAACGAGCTAGGTTGGCGGTTCATCGGGGGTGGTGCGCCATTGGAAAGTGAGAGGGAGGGTTGACCGCGCTGGTGCGAGTTGCGCTCTGTGTGAACGGCAATCGGTGCCTGCGACGACTGGCGCGACACGCTCCGTGACGGCTCATTCGCCGAGGAATGATGCGAGCCACCGGAGAACCGGGTCTCTTCGCCAAATGCGTTGGGATCGATTTCAAAGTCACCGGGGCGGGGAGCGAAGAGCTGACGGACCAATTGACAGCGAGAGATATGGGGCGGCATAGCCAAGAGCTTCTTGATATATTCATCCAAATTCTGTCGGCGGCCGTTGGAGATGGCGTCCGTGACATGGGTGACTGGTCCGGGCATATACGGCAGCGTGCGCGGCTTGCCACGGTTACCGGCTTCCTCCTCGAATTGAGTCAACAGTGCGATCTGGAAATCGTAAAAGTCGTGGTAGTAGCGGGCCAACTCCCAGCAGCGACCGTCCTCCATTTTGGCCTCGATGATGTACCAGTATTTGTCGTTGTCAAAGCAGTACCGGGGAATAGATGCCGCGATTGGCGCCATCAATGACTGGTGATAACTCTGCTGCGACTGGTGCGAAACTTGTTGCACAAGCGACCCTTTACTGGCATTGCGAGTGTGGTAGCCCTATCGCACGAAAGGTTAGGGCGACAGTCCTCACGAGTCGCGGATGCGACAAAAGGAGGAAACATTGGAGACTTACCTGGGACTGGCCATTTTGACTCATTTGACTCTGACGTCCGATGGACATCTTGTCCATGCTCGACGTGACAGACTGCATCGACGAGCCACCAGCGGAGTCGATCTTGCCCAGCGTGATGCTGCTGTTCTTGTATTCGGCCGTCATCTTCTTCCATTCCTCCACCTTTGGCACGCCGGCACGCCTGACAGCTTCAAGCGGATCGGTGACCGCTTGACCTGTCTGCATATCGCGAAGTTCGAGGAAGGAAACGGGGATGAGACCCGGGCCACCCAGGCGACCGATAGGTTTGGCGACAAACCATTCCTGGTTCGACTGGGCGATAACAATAATGGCCTCGCCAGCTTTGGCGTCTAGTTCGTCCGGTCGCTCGGCCTGGAAGTCGTACTGAACGATGCCATAGACCATGGCACTCGAGCCCTTCCCCAACTGCGACATCCTGGGTTGAAAGCTATTGCGGGAGGAATTGCTGATGAAGTCTGTACCTGGGAAGGCAGCTCGATCGGAGAAGCCTGAGTCGTGCGGCTCTTTCTTCTTATGATGGTCCACCGATCCGGCGCTGTGTCTCTCGTTTTTGCCAATCACTTCAAAGAAGGACACGGGAACCAACCCCCTCGCACTAGGGATGAGCGGATTGCACGCTTCGTACCAGTCCAAGTCGTCCTCCCTGCTGATAACGTGAAAGAAGTCTCCCTTGCTGAAGGCGAGTTCCTGCGAGTTCCCGGGTTCCGGTTGGTAATCGTAGAGCGCTTTGATGACCTACGCGCAGCACAGGGATGTGGTCAACAACGGGTCGCCAAGGATAGGCTGCTCGACTAATGTCGGCGAACGAAAGCGAATAACACGCAGAGAAATCAATTACAATCGACAAACAACCAAATTTTGAAGGATGCGACTATAGAAGAAAAGGAGGGGTAAAGGCAGGGGGGGAAGGAGGGGAGGGTGGGATCAACCAGGGATCCGAAAGGCAAAGAAATGGAAAGAGTGGAAATAGAAATTGAGAATCGGAGAGGGATGGAAAAAATAAAAATGGAAAGGAAATTAAATAAGGCGAAATAGTGAAGGGGAAAATTAAAGAAAGGAAAGGGTGTAACACACCTTCTTTGGCGGAAGGATGGCGATGGCGGACTTTGGAGTAATAGAAAGGTGGTGGTGACTATGGTGACTGAGATGGTGGTGGTGGTGGGGTTTGGGATCTTTCTCCCCTTTGAGAGAGCGTCGAATGGCCTAATTAATTGGCGGTGTTGGAGATTAGTCCAGAGCCGATAGATTGCGCGCGGCAATAATGATCGTTCCCAGTCAGAAAGAAGAAAGGGAAGGGCCACAGTCATCAAATCAAGGTGCTAATTTTTCGGGGAGGAGGGCGCTCGGAACAAGCGACAATCGAGATAAACGAGGGGCGGGAAAACGAGGGGGTTGCTTGCAGGCGGGTTTGCCAGCTTGGAACAGATAGATGTACGTACCTTCATTATTTAGTTTGCTAAATTCTCCTTCCGGGCGAAACTAAATAAATGAACGTCGGAATGAATCAATGAATAATACTCCCTAGGCAGGTCAACCTAGCCAGGCCGTGCCCACAGGTGGTCGGGAACGCCAGATCAGCCGCCGAGGCAAGGCAAGACGTAAGTACGGGGACGAGTAGGGTTTGGTAGTTTGAGCGAGGCCTGCAGCAGACAAGATCTGATCATCCACTTTATGCCCGTTGTCAGCCACCCCGGTCCAGGCGTATCACTGTAGATTCGAAGGTCTTGTCGGCGATGGGATGTGTTGGAATACAAAGAAACCAAAAGAACAAGAGAATGGGCGGCAATCCCGGGTAGCAGCTGAGAGAGACGAATGAGGCAAAAGAGACAGGGTAAATGAGTAAAAGAAAAGTAAAAAAAAAAAAAAATATAGTAAGACGAAAACTTTAAATCTGAACAATGAAGGAGCGTTTTAAAGTGATACAGTAAAAAAAGATAGTAACAGACAAAATAGCCTGGGGTTTGATAGGGAAAGAGAGAGAGAGAGAGAGAGAGTAGGGACAAGAGGGAGTGTCAATGGATGAAATAGAGCGGACGGTTGTCAGCGGCGATATGTTGTTATAGTAAGAAAAATTAGAGTAACTCCCTAGACGCTGGTCTGCAAGTAACCCAGACAAGGGTGACAGTGCAGTGGCCTCCTAATTTCTGCTGGTCTTTCTTTGCCTATTTTTCGCCCTCAAACGAGCAGGACTACCACGGACGAGCCGGTATGGGGAGTTCTGGATTGCGACGACTGGGACAGAAAAAAAGCGGCCCGCTTTCCTTTGGTGTTCCCCCCGCCCCTGAGGATGGATGGATGGATGGATGGATGGATGGGAATAGAATGGGTGCGCTGGAGTGGTTCAGTGGGTGGACAATGACGAGGATCCACGCGTGACAGCTCGGCGGAAGGTTCCCAGGGTTGCAGTGTTCTGGAAAGGTCCTCCCCCTAGCAGAATGGTTTAATATTTTTTTCCCTTTTCTTTGAGTTACCAGATAGTTCGCCTGCTCCTTGCGACAAAACCGGTTATGGAAGTCGGAAGATAGTAAAGTTGGCGGCGATGATGACGATGATGATGGTGGTGGTGGGAGAGGCAGCAAGTAAGTAGTAGTAAGCGGTCGAGTCAAAGGCACGGCGATAGGAGAATAATGGGCCGTCCTGACTCCTACCACCACTTTGCGGGAGCACTTGGTGGCTGTGACCCAGACGAAGGAGAGGCAAATAAGTGGATTGAGTGGATTAGTGGCCGGATGGCATGGACCGTCGTGGGGTGTGAAGGATGGAAGCCGTCGAGAAATCGAACTGCTGGTTCAACTGTGGCGGGTACTCCAGCACCCTCGTTCCCGGTTGGTTGGTTCCCCGACCTGCGAATTGGAGATGAGGGAGGTTAGTATGGCGTTGGTTTTGTCCTCGTGGCAGTAAAACGAACTCGAGGAAGGATCCAAAGAAGGGTTACAAGCGGGTATAAAACCAGATGACTGGGATTAAAGGAGGTGGTGGTGAAAAAGTAAGTGAAAATAGGCAGAGCGCGATACTTCATCCGCCGGTCGAAGGCACATACACTTACCAACAAAGGAAGGCAATGTCCGGTTTGTAGCAGATCGTGATAGACGTTGGACTGGCTGGCTGGACTAGTTTTCTGCTCGGATCGCCTGGTCCTTGAAGCTAGTGCGTCTATTTCTTCACTTTCTTTTTTTAAACCTAGACTAACAGAGGAAATGACGACAAACTCAAACTGCTTGGAGAAAAGTGATTGTGATTGTGATAGTGATGGGGGCAAATCATCCATGAGGAAAATCCATAAGATTGCGAGACAAGACAAGACAAAAGAGCGGTTCAGAAGGAGACAATATAATGATATTATAACCTACCCAACGCTGCCTGCCTCAATACATACCATACATCAATCAAATCCCAACAATCAAGACCCAAAATCTACAAAGCACACCATACAGATTCAGTCAGTCACTCACTCACTCACTCACACACCTACAAAATCCAATAAATTTTTCTCACCCACCAATGTCAATTCCTTCAGCTTCGACGCCAAAGCAGGTGGTTGTGTGCCTAAAAATCCTTTATTTAGTTGATTCACCAGTCAACCAGCAGACCGGGAGCTGCTCCCCGGCCGTCTGCATGGATGCACCGCGTAAGGTATGACGGCCGATGTCCACCCTGGTTGGTCGCTAAGGGACTAGGAAGTAAATACTTAGTTAGCTGAGACTCCTTAGTTTGTTTCTGCTTCCAGCCCTGTTGGTAGTGTCATCCCTGACTCTATTACCTCTTTCTTGTTAGTGATTTTATTCCTTGATTATGATTTTCCCCTTTCCCTTTAGTTAGGTTAAGGTGGGTTCATTATTCACTTCCCTTATTTTACTTTTCATATTTCCTCCCCCTGGGCGCAGTTGGGCAGCAGTGAACCACCGCCCCTCCCAAATTCCCTTTTCCCCCCGTCGCATTAAACCGGGAGTGGTATAGAAGGCCGGCACCGTCCAGCTGGAAACCCGCCCGATCGATAGGCGATAAGAATCAGCCGAACAGACTAGAAATAAAAACAACCATGGCTCGCAGCCCCTGTGTGTGGTGTAGTGTGGTGTGTGTGTCCCAGATTCTGCAGGAGACAAACCAAAAGCCCAGCGCGTACGTACTGTGTATGGGCCACAAGTGGCCCCGGTCCAGCGTACCTGAGTTGCGACGGGCAGGGCAGGAATGGTCATTGGGCTGCTCGGGTGGGCAAGGAAGAAGGTGTGTGTGGGTTCAACACACACACCGAGTTTGCCCATCCACACACCACACCACAGACACACACACACACACATTCCTGTGGTCTGTGTGCCCTTCCTTTTTAATTAACGGAGGGCTGCCAACTGCCGGCTGATTCAGGTGTCAACTAGTTTCAATAACTAGTTAGTAACCAGTTCTACAGAGTATCTAGACTTGTTCGATTTATCGTAGCAGAGTTTAATTAACCCCGACGACTTCATGATCTTATTTTATTTTACTAAGCGGAGAAGAGAAAACGGAAAAGGGACGAACTGCTCCCAATTTTTTATCTTTTTTTAATTTACCCATCTCCTGGACTATCATTTCCCCTGTACCGCTGCACCTCCGAGCCTGAAACTCTGCAAAGGAGCTCGGACGGGGAAAAAGGTACTTAGGCTGGAAACGCATCCATGGTTTGTATGCCTGGATTTTACCCAATCCAGTCAACCCAACCCAGCACTAATTCCAATCAGTTTGGATCGGCACAGGGTCTCTTCTCCATCTAGTATAGATGGAGGATGATCAGGTCTGAAGGAAATCCCCCGGAGTTCCGTCTCAAGATGGATTAGTTTGGATCCCAACAATGCTGTAACCCAAATGCTAGCTAGTTGGCAAGGCAAAGAGGTATATCCGCGCCTTTTTCAATATGACCGAGGCTGTAAGGGACGACTGAGCTCTTTCGAGCATGATTTTAAAAGGTCTAGTACTTTGCATCCAGCCTCAAATATTTACCTCCGTGTCTACAAAAGTAGATATATTATGCGCGCGATCTCTGTCTCCTCCAGTACCTACAGTAGTGGCATACCCCAGCCGCAGAGTATGACATGGATTCTCCAAGCAAGATATGACTCTACTACACAAATCATCTAGATCCATTCCATTCCCCCCCCCCAGGCCAGTTCTCAAAAACCTTGTACACCCTGCACCTCATCCACATTCACAGACACACCACCCTTGCAGGTAGTAGACAAGCCCAGTCACTGCACCCAGTCAAATCCCTAACCGGGCTTATTCCAGATGCCGTCCGCATAAGGTTATTGCTCGTATATGCGAGTATAAGAAATAAGAAAAAAGAAACAAAGAAGATGATACGCGGAACAAGCGAAAGCTGAAGTCAACGCCACACCACAAAATAGAATTTCAGTCTATCCATCTACCGTTAGTAGCCAATGGAAGATAAAGGTAGCTAACTAACTAGATACAGTAGTCGAGGCACACTGCAGCAGCTTAGCTACCTACAAAAGTATTTAGTAGGTACTTAGATAGCTGGACCGAATAAGCGCACAGCTGATCGGATCATACTTAGTATTATTCGCCACTCTGGATGTATGTGGGTAAAATCGATCCATCCATCGAGCCCACCAGCCAGCTGAGTTAAGTACTCTGTAGCTGAGCTAAAAAGCAACAAAGCGGATTGTACTTTGTGCCAGTACCACAGGATATTGCGTAATTTTAGCCCATTAATGTGAAGCACGATCCATAGATCAAGTCCTGCTGTTACTTTGTGTGTAGCGAATCATTATTCTTAAACATCCATTACTACTACTATACTCTGGTAAACCCCGCACCAGCACCACCACCACGTGAAAAGTACCAACTATCATATTGTTTCAGTCCTCAATATTATAGACCATGAAACAAGCACTGAAACAACCCTCATCTGACGAATCCAAACAGCACCTATACCATATACTATCTTCAGCCTCGTGCAGATGCTCCCCATATCATATCATCCTGCAAATCTGATATATCATTCTCCAGATGTCATATGCACCCTTCCTTTCCCCTCCTCCGATCAAATCAACGTATCTATCTAGTAGTAAGTAACTAATATCCGTCCATTTATATCTAGGACTTATCTAACTCGCGATGATCGAAATCGATCTACAGCTGATCATCGGGTTTGATTTCCGTCTCGTCTCGTCTTTTCAGGTTTTTGCCACCATCGGATACTAACGGTTATCTACTTCATCTACTTAATTCGGAAGGTATATGCATGGTCACTCACTCATTCAGTTACCACAGTAAGTACTAAGTACTTTATGAAAAGGCCCAAAAGTACGGGTCTAGACCGGTGGGGGGAGGGAGGACTATCTACTACCAATCTACTTAGGAGTGGGAGAGATAGACTCGTCAGATTTAGTGGATTAACTACTAACTAGCTGGGTATAGTATAGTGTCATGTATCATGTACGAGGGTAGATAGATACATACATACATAGTAGATACATAGATCATTGTTGACTTATCACTGTAGATCATCCTCTAACGGTCGACTTACTTCCTCCTTCATGTAACTTTGATCTCATCTCGCTTGCGTTGATGAGGTGCGGGGTATCTATGTAACTGCTTAGTGACTGTTTTTGACGTACCCCTCATCTGTGGGTCGATTGTGGTGGTAAGTACTTTGTATGTCCTGTTGGATACATAATGTTGGGGTGAATGGATGTGTCTGATGTTTAAGGGAGTGGGAATTTTGTTGGTTTGAGGGTGGGTGATAAGGTTCGAGAGGGGATGATGACCGTTTCTCATCTTTTCCTAAGTAGACAGACTTGTATCAGTTGACGCTGTGGTGGGTACAATGGGGCTGCTGCCCATACTTTTCGTGTTTTAGAATTGACAATGATCATTGTATTGACAGCTGCGCTACCGAAATGTTATCAAACAAACGTCAGACGCCTTCCCTTATACCCACTTCTGCCTTCTATCCATCGACTTTTTTTTTCTCTGTGCACTACCAATCCTCTTCAAGTCAAAATGGGTATATGTACTCAGATCGTAAGCGGTTAATGCAGGACGCCTCTAATGCCGGAAGCAAGGAAATAAAACGAACAGAACTCCAAGCGCCCTGAAGAAACGAACAGAATAGGGGAAAGCTGGGGTGTGCTAGAAGTATCCAGAATGGTGAAAGGGGTGTCGGAAGGTGAAAGTGAAACCGCAGGTTGCAAGGAGGAAAAGAAAAAATAAGTAAAATCGAGAGATACGGAACTTAGATCTGTCCCTTGATATCGACGATTCGGTGGGCCTCGGCCTTGGCTCCTTCGAACAGTTGGCCGGCCCTGCCACCCGTAAGCAGTCTCACCACGCCATCTTTCTCTTGGAGGAGGTCCTCCGAAGTATGGTCCAAAATGAAGCGGGCGCTCTGCTCGTCGGACTCGAAACCAAGTTCTTCGGTAATGAAACGGATGTTTACATCAGGTTTGTACCTGTATTATCAAGGTCAGTGGCCGTCACACGTAGAGTCAGAACAGAAACTTACGCTTTACAAATTGCTGCAAGTGCAGAAAGTCGCTCACGATCCACGAACATATCCATTAGATAAGCCCCCATATTCGGGGTGTCGAGATAAAGCTGGAAGAAACGGTGATAGTTCCCAAGAGCAAGAGCGGAACGGACATCCAACGCATGTTTCACAGCAAGATCCCGTTTGTCTGCTGCAGTTAGATCGGCCAAGGCATCGTTCATGGCCGTCCAGTTGCGGGTATGGATGAAATAGAGGATACGATAGGCCTTGAACTCCGTAGGATGACCGCCAAGTTGCTGTGCATACAACGCTCGTAGTTGAGTCTGGCACTGATTATACTCACCAAGGTCACCTTTCTCTAGGGCAATTCGGGCATGGATTTCATAGACGCTGACAGTGAATTCGTTCCTGATATGCTGTACAGTCAAATCTTGACGGAGGGATTTGAACTGATCACAGATATAGCCATAGTTGTTGTCCTTTTTCCATTTCTTCTTCAGTAGGTCTAATGTTTTCATCAAGACCGGCAAGGGACGAACGGTATCCGGATTCGGTGCAGAAGTCAGGCGGAAGTAATTCTTCTCGAGCTCCTGGCACCTTCCGACAACAGGGCCTTGGTTTGCATTGGGGGTCGGTGATGCACCGCGGGAGGAGGGTGAAGATCCATGTCGTCCTTGTGCGTCCTCGAAACGTTTCCTCCGCATCTCCAGATTAGCTTTTGACTTACTTGGGTTCTTACTGTCCATCTTCTGCCGCTTGTCTGTGGAAGGATAAGTGACTCGGTCTTCAAAGGCATTCTGGTTGTTAGTTTGTCTCCATGGTGGACAGCTGCTCGCGTCTCCGTGGTACTCCACCGATTTCCTCTTCTTCGATAAGTCAACCAATGGAGTGCTGGACTTCTTCGGCGAATGTGTCCCAAATGTGGCCCAAGTCGAGACACCTGGGCTGGCGAGCACCATGTTGCGGTCGTTTTGAACCATGACCTGCGGCAGAGGCAGGGTTTCCCAGTCGATCTTATCGAGCATATTACCCTCTGCTGCCTCCGTGATGACCGACTTGAGTTTCGCCTCCATCTCACTCCGGTCGACCGTGGGAAGGCGGTTTTCGGGCGCAAAGCTGCGTTGCACATATTTGCGGACGGCTTCTGGAAATTCTACTTTTTTGCGGGTGGCGGCATCGGCAGACATCGTCGGGGGTGTAGAAGAAGGAACAGGGTTGGTGGCTTTTGTGGGCGCGATACTACGGCGTGCTTGCACTGGGATATAAGCTGGGGCCACTGCTGCCACGTTAGTCAAGTCTGAACAAATGTCACGGGCGGGAAGAGAAGCATACCATGACCAGAGTGAATTGAGGTGGTAGCGGTGGCTGAAGCCGCAACACGCCATGGTGGGATGCCGGAGCTCATGATGAATGAAGAAACGATGATCTATTTTAGGGGCCAGTGCAGAAAGGGACAATAAAGAAATGCGAAGAGTGATGATAATCAGAAAAGAGAGGTATTAACTACGAATGATTTGGTTCGAGCCAGTCAGAACATATTCCTACACCAACAGAGCCGAGTAGGTATCACTGAATGTAAGAGAAAATAAAGGTCGGCCGGTCTGTTTCTAACAAGACAAGGGGCAAGATGATATGTAAGTTATCCACAGGGGTATGTTCTCCAGGCTTCGGGGTGAGTGAATAAGGATGAAGAGCGGAGAGAGAGGGAGACTCGCTTAGTGACGCTGGATCCCACTTGACTTGTCTCGGTGGCGGAGATTTCGTCTTGGCACGGAGACAAGATACCGCCTACCCAATATAGACAAATTACATCAGCACGCCGATCTGACTGATAACGAGCAATACAACCAGCGCCAAGGCATCTCGCTTTC